ACTAAACAACTTTGAAAACTCCAAACACCAACTTTGTACAACTTGACAAGATCTACACTTTTGCTTTTAAGCTCAACCCCAAAATATGCTTAGATTTTGAAATGAGTTTTTAGGGTAGAATTTAAATACCGAAATTAAGTTTTTCGGAATTTCAAAACAATACAGGTATTTCAAACTTGATTCAAACAATACAATTCAACACTTATACATGAATGTAAACTTGTTTTAGTGAATGCATATCAACGTTTGCAATATGACCAAATGCTTTGCAATGCATATGATGACATGACAGTTTTAGTATTTAAAACACCCGGGGTGTTACAATTACATGTGGAAATCAAGACAGGTATATCTACATCCATGATCTGCTTAGCTAAAGCAGCTTGAGCTCGTGCTAAATTTTTCAGCAATGATGATGATGCTATTCTGATTTTCAGTAGTACAGAGGAGCACAATACCTTATTAGTTAGTTCCCTGCAACCTTATGGTATTATTCTGCTACTTTTAGGATTAGTTTGTCAAGTACAAAGTGTATGAAAGGGGTGTATCTGCATCTCTTTTTTTTCTGAAAATCTTGTTCCTGCTCTTCTCTTTTAACCATTACTGAACTTGAGTTGATAGCTTCTCTGTATTGCATACAAGTGTACATATATTTAGTGAAATCTGCAACTGGATGTTACTTCTTTCATGTGGTGTAACTAGGTTCAGCTAGTAGTGATATATATAACAACCCCAACTAAATCGTTGATTTATTGATATGTAGTAGCTGCTGCAGCTATCAATTCTCTGTTTTTAGTTTCACTTCTTTCATGTGGTGTCTCTATCCATTCTTATACTGTTTGTGCCCGTCGGTCCGGCCCGCGACAGGATGCCCCGGTCCGGTCCTCGGTGGCTTGCTGCCACTTCTCCTGCCGCTGGATCCGGCAGCGCCCGCTCCGAGCCTTGCCCCGGACACCGACGCCGGAGTGGTCGGAGGTGGGGGCGGGAGGAGGAGCCCCACCCGCGCCCACTGAGCCCTGCCCCCACGCAGACTCGGCCAACGAGGACGAGGACGAGGAGGACGACGACGATTGGGGCCGGCCGAGAAAGAAGGTCGGCGGCGGGGTGCGAGGATTCTTCGACGAGGAGGCCAAGGTCACCCTATTTTACTGTGCCGTGATGCTCTGTCTAGGATTTGTGTGGTATTTTTGCTGTTTGTTGAGATCTGGACCAAATTTAGTCGATTTCCAGAACTGATTTAGAGATATAGTGAGAAATTAGAAATTTCTATGACACTTTATGCTCTCGATCTAGATGGAATGCACCTCTTCCTTTTTGTTTTCATGACTAGGTAGCTGGTGTAGGTTGCAAGAAATTTAGCTTCATAGCAGTTGTGTAGCTAAAGCAACTAATTTTGATATTTGCCTTTGCTCCAGATCTTAAAATGGAACTTAGTCATGCTGTTTTTTTCTTTGCATAATGTTCCATGGGCAACTGACTTCATGATTGTTACTGCTGCATGCTTCTTCGTCTAGTCTCCTTTTTCTTGTATCAATCTTTGACATATACTATGAGACGCAATTGGATACCTTAGTAGTAAAATGTTTGACAGGTACACAATTATTTGTAGTTTAACTGTGCATGTCAATAAATTAAATACGAGATAAATCACTTGTTTTCTATTCTTCTTGTATCTTGAATATTTACCATATGCTGATTTTAACCTTTGTTTATCAGCACAGCTTTGTTCTGATGGTATAATCAAGCATGTGGAGGCTTGTTACAGTGTGGAGTCTTGTAGCAGCAGGCATAATCAAGTGCATAAGGTACAAGCAGTTTGTTGTCAAGTTAAATTAGAACTGAACTGCAGTTGTCTAGTTTTCTAGTAGATAATTTTCTATCACTAGCTGTCTAGTTCTGGTCACCTGAAATAAGTTGAATAGGTGATGCATTAGAAATTGCAGATGGCTCCCTAAATTGGGGATTAGTTTGACCTCCATCTGTTGCTGAGTAAGTTGCAAAAGTGTTTCCAATTTGCATGGTTTACAGGTGTTTGACTTTTCCAACAATATTTTGAGATGACTAAAATAAGCTATTGCGGATTTTCTTGGCCTTTTATACTGTTAGATACTATTGTAGATGCCATGACTATTTGATAAATAAAGAATTCAGGGAGGCTTGATTAATGCTCTGCCACAAGGCAGAGAACTGCCAGCCGAGCATTTTAATGAAATTTGATTGTGTGAATACTATACAGTAAATTTAATGGCAGTATATATATGTTTGTTCATTCGTTCATTCATATGTACCAAAAAGAAGAAACAACAATATACAATTACTGTATAACTTGCATGTTGGGACGCAATTTTACCTATACATAAGTTTTTTTTAAAAACATGAAGTGTGTTCAACAGATGAATAGAAAGAAATATGACGGGCTGAATTAAAGTCCCTGCTAGTATTTCTTCCATGTGTCTCAAGCACAGATTGTTCTGAAAGCTGATTTACTTTGATTCGAACTTATCTTCTTGGCACGCCTTTAACTATTGATATGAATGCTTTTGTGCAGGTCTCTACTAATGTGCTCTGCTATGCTGCCTCTACTACAGCTACTGCGAAACAAGTATACTTATATGTTCGGTGCTCAGTTTTAGGCCTTCTCTACATGCTTATAAGCTTATTTCAGCAGAAAATAATTATTCTTTTGACCCTAGCTTATAGTTCGGATCCACTATCCAAATCTTTCATAAAATAGTTGTTGAAAAGTTTTGGTCAAATTTGTGAAGATGCATGTATGTTTGTTGAAGTTGAATCTTAGTTGTGTAGTGACATGTGTATTATTGTGGACAATTGTTGATGGATTAATTTTTATTTTTTTAACCATTTAAAATTGTCTCGTTGGACTATCTGTCGCTAAAACCATATGTACCATCGTACAGTCTGTCGCTAAAAAGTAGCAATGTATTATCTGTCGCTAAAAAGTAGCAATGGAGTATCTGTCGCTATAAATATTCGAGGCAACAGACTGTCTGATGCTAAAAGTATTGTCTGACGCTAAAGATTTTTAGCGACAGGACTTACAGCGTCTGCAGAAGTCTGTCGCTGTAAGTTTTTAGCGTCAAACTGTCTGTCGCTGTAGCCACTTTTAACGTGAGACCGTCCATCGCTAAACTTGGTGCTGTGGTGTAGTGGTCACAAAGCCAATATTCACTCCAATTAGGTGTCCACCCGCCATCGGCGGCCACCCCACCTTCCGGTAGTAGCTCCCATGTCGTATCCACCATCATTGTTCACCAACACTAATCTCCTCGCTTTCATCCTCTGCTGCCTTTGTCACTAATCTTCCGGTAGGATTTTTAATTTATTATTTTCTATTGATATTTTATGTATATTGTACATAGTACTTGTATACTATTTTTCTATTGTTATTTTTTCTACTTTGTATACTATTTCTTGCATATTCTTTCACTAAGAAATATAGGAGATGGATGGACCATTGTCCAATAAAAACCTATAAGTTTGTGGGTGGCCCACAAAAAAATTTAGGAAAAGATGTTGTTAGAATATTCAACACTACGCAAGCCACCGAACCAAACAAGACTTAAGTAAACTAGACCAGCTTTAAGGCCAGTTTTGGCAAGTCTCTAGCTCGTCGTAAAAGGAGAGCTCCTCATGTTGAGTAGCTTCTCTGGTGCAGGCGAAGCTTTTTTGAAAAACGTTTGACAAAAATGACTCCGGCCTCGAGTGGTAGTTTTATTATAATTTGTGCCAAGTTTAAAGAGTTGGAAGAAACCACATTTTCCATGACTCTGTTGGAGTTGTCATTTGGTAAGGCTGCTCCAGAAAACCTCGCCCATGGAGCCCTTAAGTCTCATAACCAAACCCCAAAAAAAAATAGACTCGCTTGTGTTAGCCTCTCTCTCTAGCTAGGATTATCTTGCTAGGTTAGGAATAAGCCATGCGACTAAACAACCTCATATTATTATAGCATTAGACTTAGTATGCCTCGACGTTATCTGAACATTTCATAACCTTGTGGTGATCTAGCCACATTTGCTGGACTTTTATGTTGGCTGCCATGCTTTAATGCATGTGCAAAACTTAAGTCATAAACTCATCATGCTCAAATTTGAAATGTACGCAAGGTTTTATTGTCAAGATTCTTTTGACATCTATCAAAATGTTTGATAAAAAAAGGGCAATACCACCCATCGGACGGCAGCCCTTTCAGGGGTTCCTTAGGGCAACATAATCAGAAATATAGTGGCAAATGCGCAAGCAGTACAAGCTAATAATCATTTTATAGCTGAATCTACAACAAAAGTGCTAATGAACAGGGGCAAACTCTACTTAAGTTTGAAAAAGTAATGACAAAATCACAGTTGAAAAAACAAGGGGACCATCAAAATCAAACAGGGGTACACGTAGTGATAGATGGAAATGGTTGATGTTGGCGTATGCTGCTTTCAATTCGTAGTGATGGATGGAAATGGTTGGTCCTCCACCAACTACCATCCTAGACTTGTTCCATTTGCCAATCTGTCTAGCCACACATACAAGAATGCTCACCATGGGAGCAAAGGACTGCAGTCAACGTTGCCCAAAACAAGATCCATGAAGAACACTTTCACCCTTTCAGCTAAGACTCTTACATGAGCTCAGTTGGTGTGATGAACTGAAGGAACGAACCCTGGAATGGATCATTTGATACATTGGCACTGCAATATTCCAGGAAAGAACATGCAAATTCCCCATGTGATATCAGCACAACCGTGCAACCCTTCCAAGGACCAAAGCCTAGACATAAGATAGGATGTTCTCGCATATGTGATACAAAGAAAACAATCACAATCAAAACTAATCCTCGTCCATCCCACCACCAGGCTGGGCATCTCTTCTTGGACCTCCTGCCGGCTTGGTCATGATGATCTGGACAGTTCATATTTATTCAAATATTACCATGTGGACCCATGAAACGCAAGCATCGAAAAGGATTTAGAACGCAAGCTTAGCAGTCATACCTGGTCAACCCATAGCACGGTGCATGCAGCATCAGCAGAGTATTTTAGCGCAAAAAACCTGTACAGCAAAAGAAACAAAGTGAGAAATCTGCTAAGGGGTCATCATAAGCAGCTTAAACTGCCACACAAGATGTGCGAACCCATGCCCCAATTTGAGGACACGCGTATGTAGACCAACAATGGTGCAAGCATTTTCCAGATCCAATGAGCACATGTTCAATTACCACAAAAGATCGAAAACATTCTGAAACCTACACATGATTCCTACATCTGATCGACTTACTTTGTGACATAGAGGTCCCGTATTTTTAAGGTCGAGATGTCCTTGCAGGCACCTTCCTCCAGGTCAATGCCAACTTTCACATTGCCACTAGCATGCTCGGCATAGAGAGAGGATATTATCTCCATTGCGCTGAGTCCAGCATTTTCTGCCAGGGTTCTTGGAGCTATTTCAAAGCTTTCAGCAAATTTTGCAATGGCATACTGGTCCAACCTGTACAATTATTAACAGCAACCAACAAATGATTGGGGTAAGCATAAATTGATTGTTTTTTTACAAAGGGTTAACCCTGCTCATATTGAAAGCAGATGTACTCTTACCCTATACATGAAAAGTTATTAACTATCACGGTAAAAACAAACTTACCCTGTTTCCTTCAATGAGAACTCTTTCAACCTCTTTGCCAACTCTATTTCTGTTGCAGCAGCACCAGGAATTATCCTACCGTCCCTGCACATTGACTAGTATAAACAAAAACTGTGAGAACTCGGATAGATTAGCTAAACAGACATGGATGTTACAATACAATGAAAACGTTAGGTTACATCTACTATAGATACCACACATATACCTTGTACGTATTGACGCCATCATCAACAGCTCTTTCAAGATCATCTAGTATACTGTCAGTACTGCCTCTCAAGACAACAGTAGCCACTGAATTTCCACCTTCTTCATTCTTGACGACAGTAACCTTATAAATAAAAAACAAAATAAAATGAATGTCGGTGAGGAAGAATAAAGATATATCTTCTGTAAAAGCACAATGGGGGTAGAGCATACTCGAGTACCACCAATTTCTTCAACGGAAAGAGAGTCTGCATATCCTAGTTCGTCCGCATTGGGTTGGCTAAGTTTCAACTATATTTCAAAAGAAAAAAAAATCCAAAATCAGAATAAGTATACTACTATGACAAAGGAACAAATACATCTGAAAAATCAGAACTTACAAATGCCATAGCCCCAGTAGTACGGCAGAATCTTCTCAGTTCAAACTTCGAGCTGATTTTCAGAACCACCAGTCTGCAAACAGAACATCAGTCTATCCAAAAAGGTCAACAGCCACACACCCATACAGTCCTCAATTTTGGGGAAAATAACATATACAATATTTCTCCAGTCTTAAAGGAATTTTCAACAAAGATCAATACAGCACAGAGAATTCAGGTAACCTATTCAGTTCAGCACACATGAAAAGCAAAAAACTCACCTGTAACGTTCACAAAAATGTAGCGCCATGTCACCCACTGCAGCTTCACTGACAATAACCTTGGCACCTGAGTCAGCGACAGCTTTGATAAGCTCCTCCACTTTAGCTTCCTCGGTCTTAGCATAATTTTCTAGCTGCAAAGGCATATGTATTATTGATTGCAACAGATATTTCCAGATTACAGCTTGCAATGCGCTACAGAAGCAAAGAAATATCATGTGCTCCATTTTTAAGTTCAGCATATCATAAGAAATGAATCCACAAATTATGAAAAGGAATGTACTGTTGGATGCACGTCTACATAACGTAAACCACACAAAGCCAACTAAACAGTTTGCAACACTCAAACCTTCATGAGCATAGTAAAAGTAGGGACGACTTTAACAGAAGTCAAAAAAGATCCTCAAAGTAAGAACATACCTGCTCAGCGCTCAGCGGAATGAATCAACACGGTTCCCTTTGTTTCAGTTGCTGAGATATCGACACCACCAGCAAATACTGCAATCTGAATGATGATTGGTTTTAGAATTCAGAAAGAAACACTGCCAGACATCATACAGAAAAAAGATGGGTACTGTGCTGTAATTGGTTAGGATTCCTGTACATATTGAATTTCTAGCACCATGTTATAACATATAACTGCCCATTTAATTAAAATCATAGTTCCTATCCATTCATTGCCCTTAGCATGTGAACTAGAAAGACAGAAATTAATAAAATAGTGTTCTATGAAGTGTGACTTTTAAGAAACAGAAAAGTTTACAATAGCACTACAAATGAAATGTGCTGTGCCGTAACCGCTTTAAGTAGGAATTGGTTTGCCAGGGCTTTATGAGCATACATGATTCACATGACAGTAACAAAATATACAAACAATGAACACATGACTAAATCACCATGAGTAAGTGATTATCCTTGAGCTTCCAACAACAAATACTCCTAACCTAGTGAAAATAACATTTAGAGCTCCATCCATTGCCCATTTCATTAAAAAAACTTCAAAATCAATAAAAAGAAGGGTACCAAACTTTCACAGGTATAACCAGTGTGCAATGTGAATGAAGAGTAGCCTTTTGAGCTTACCTTTGCCTTCTCCACCCTTTCGATGCTACCAACAGCATCATTTTTCAGAACCATCCCACGGACCACAGAAGAATTGTGCAAACCACCTCCAAGCAACTTAGCCACTCTAACATTGTCGACATTAAAGTTTGCAGGATTTTTGGGGCAAACTTGAATGCAGGCCTAATAAACAATACAACAAAACCACTATTAGTTGGTATCAGTATGACATGCGAGGGGAAAAAAAAAACAAAGCTCCCTGTAAGCTGGTATGGATTAGCTTACATCAGCCACAAGAGGGCACATTATATCCTCCTGGCCAAACTGCTTGCTTGCGACAGCAGATCTCATCCTCAACACAACCTCCTCCTTGTTTCTTACATCCATGTTCTCTGAGCCTTTCTCAACAAGATCCTCCAAGATCTGAATTGTCTGCATACCAAAGACAAAAGCACAAAGAGGAGGTTGTGTCACAAAAGCCTAAGGGAGTCAGGGGGACAAGTCACCTTGTTGATGGCTTTGGTGTAGCCAATGATGATCTCACTCGGATGCAAGCCCATCCCTGATGAGCTCCTCAGCTTTCTCAAGCAGTTCGCCGGCAAACGATATGGTGAGATTGGCCCCATCCCCAATCTCCTCCTGCTGAGCCCTGCCAGCCAGTACCAGGATCTTAGCAGCCGGGTGCTGAACCTCTAGCTCATTCACGATGGTGGCAGCATCATTTGTGACAAACAGCTTGTCCAAGTGATTGATAAACATCTTGTTCATTCCTACACAAAGAAAACCAGTAAAACTACAACATCAAGCAATTGGCCACTGGAAGGTTTCAGCATCTATGTAAGTAAAATTAAGTCTGATGCGATTTACATAGTGCAGAAGACTAGTAGTATTAGACAAACTAATTGCTCGTGATCCAAACATTGTACACGGCTAAATGAGATTTCAAACGGCACGCCAGTGTGCCAAACGCCTCACACTACTACCCAAACATTTGTCAGCCTTGTCACCGTATATTATCCCAATAAGCTCCAACAACCAGGCCACTCCTCGCTCCAGATCCCCCTCACTCCCTGCCCACTCCCCCCAGCAGCTCGATCCGGCGGCCTCACACTACGCCACCGAAGACCGCCCTCCTCGCTCCAGATCCCCTCTCACTCCAGTAGCCACAACTCGAGCCCACAACCCACGCCAACGAAGCGGAGGCGCACGCGGAGGCGGAGCACGACTCACCGTTGGGGCCGAGGGAGGTGCGCTTGATGGCGGAGAGCTCGCGGCAGGCGTCAATGTTCTTGAGCACAGCCTCCTCGAGCCCGGAGAGGTGGCGGTGGCCCTCCTTGAGCATCGACTGGATCCCGTAGCCCGCCATCGTCGTCTCCGGCTGGGTGCGGGGGCGGTGGTCTGGCGGCGGGGGACGGCGCCGGCGGCGAGTTGGATCGGGGGCGAAAGGTTTAAACCCTAGTGGGCGCTGCTTTGGGAGACAAAGGGCCGAGGCGTTCTAGAATCGTGGGGAGACGAAGGGAAGGAAGCCCTAGGTGGCCCGTCGGCCCAGGTAGGTAAAGCCTGCTGGGCTTGTTGGGCCGGGCTGGAGGTGTGTTAGGACTTGGGATTTATTTATTTATTTATAATATATGTTTTTTTTTTAATTTTGTGTTTTGCAAAAATAATTGCTTGAATAAAAAATGCATAAAGATACTCCTGTCAGTAATTGAAACTGATATGGAAAAATGAATTCGGCCAAGTAAATTGAAGGAAGCTATTTGAATTCGAGGAATTTACTCTTTTTCGTGTAGAGATTCACAACTTTTCAATATGAGGTTGGATGGAGATAAAATATGTATGAAAATTGTAGAGGTAGAAGAGATCTACAGCCTTATAGTTTACATATTTTTCATTTGAATTCAATAATGGTGATTTCTAAATGAAAGACTACATTTACTATTTAGTGGTACGATCAAAATCTCAAAGAATTGTATAACATATAATTTGAAAATCCAGTAAAGAAGATTTGCAAGCATCGAAACTATACTATGAGATTGGGTACTATCTAGAAGATATCTACTATCGTAACTCATTTACCCCATAATCCTATGAAAGCATCTATTACCAAGGAAAGATAAGTTTTGTTTGTATTGTACAACTTAAAAAGTGGTTATTTATGCACGACGTATACTGTTCTTATTCACTCATTTTATAATTGACATAAGAATTGCAAACTAAGTCTTTGAAATGCATAGTATTGTGGTACCGCATATCATTAGTAATACTCACATTTGTGAAAAATATGTTTATGATATTTTGAACAACGAAGTTCAAAAGATGACTTTATGAGAGGGGCGTATTTTATTGAATCTACTATGAAGGTAAACCACTAAAACTATTATAAAAGGTTAAGAAGGTCATATCTACTAAACATTGAAGTTTATGTATAGATCATGAAGATAGACATATATTCATGAAGAATAGAATATCCTAAAGAATACATGACTAAGAAGATTAAATGTTGTACTTTTTTTCTATATGAGTTTCTACATGAAGGTTTCTCATAGAAGGTTTATAATGAGGCAACGTGTGTAATGCAATTAACAAATGTGATACATTCTTTCCTCTAAGAACTATTTTTCCGTTGGATTTTTGGATGGGAGTTTTTAATGAGGCATGAGCATATCATGGTAACCGCCCAAGGGAAGTGTTGTAAAACATGTGAACTCTAACCTAGAAGGAAAGAAGGAGAAGTAATCATAATCCTAGTTTATTTGTATGCAGGCTCTTACCAAACTCTTAGACCTTGATATGACCATATATATGTAAGAGCTCTATGTTGTAATCATGAATATTCAGAGAATAAAGAATATTTCCTCTATCTTGTGTCTATGTGATCTACTTTCATCTATTATGTTAATCACGAGAGACGAAGAGAGAAAAGTCATAACCACTAACAACGTGTTTTAGACAAAAATAATCCTGGCTGATTTTTATTTTAAATTCTAACCATTTTGGGCCGCACCAGGTCATGAGGCGTGACAACATCATTTTATAGCGACAGATGTATTGACATGGTAAGATGGACCACATGCTTAGCTTAGGACACGTGAGGGTTCACGGGCACACATTGTATACATGAAAAACTTGTCATGCCATTTTCATTGAACTGGTGTGACAAGGCTATCCTTCTACCTTAAAATTTCATATATTTTAAATATAGCGTTGGGTGAAGATGATTTTTTACATGAAAATTGTAATTCTCAATGAGATCTACAGCTTTCTAATTTAGGTTTTTTCACTTGATGTCCTTAAGATGTTTAAAATTATTATAAAATATCAGCAGCACAATGTTGTTAACCTCCACTACTACATAAAGGGTTTGTAGGGGCGGTTCAAGACCATTTGTAGGGACGGTTTGGCCAGCCGCTCCTACCAAACCGTCTCTACAAATCATGCATTTATAGGTGTGGTTTCTAGACCGCCCCTACAAATCGATTTGTAGGGGCGGCTGGTGTTATCAGCCGCCTCTACAAATCGATTTATAGGGGCGGCTATAGTACCAACCACCCCTATAATACCTGTTTGTAGGGGCGGTTCAATCCATTTTTCAGCTAAAAAAATTCAAATTTACAATTCAAATTCGACTAGAACCGTCCTGTTTGTTTCCGCGTATTCCCACGTTCGCGTTGCGAGTGAGCGATAACACCAACGTTCCGAACCGCGTTCGCTCAAGAGTATTATATAAACTACAAGCACAAGAGTATTATATAAACTATAATTACAAGTCCAATTCACAAGAATATATACAATCCATCATTAAATAGACATAATTCACAAGGTAAAATCAATATTAAATTTCATACACATTATTATCAACGTCCTAGAGCTAGCCTTTCAGTCTCACGAAGGTGTTGGTACTAAGGATTTCTATCTAAGTCAGACTCTCGATCATGGTAGGTGCCTTTGACGTGTACAATCTGGTCCAATATGAAGTTGCAAAGGTCACCGACGAGCTCTAAGAGTTGATCATCCTTGTATGGGTCTCTTTTCATTTCTTTCTCTTCTTTCCACTACAAGAGAACAAGTTTCGGTTTAGTATTTCATACCATGTACGAAGTTTTTATACTACGGGTGAAGAGGTTGAAACTTACCCTTAAGGGATGTCTCCTGTAGACACCGGTGTTACTCATCATAGAATATACATAGTATCCACAATGTACACTCCCAGGCTTCTGCTTAGGGCACTATGTGTTTTGCATATGAAAATGTTAAGTAATGCTTTTGATAGCTATGTAATGGAGTACTGAAGAAGTAAGTTACACTTACCGCACATAGTGTTTTTATAGCTAGCTTTTCCTTCCTTACTGGATCATGCCTTCTGTGATGTTTAGTGACACAGAACCTAAATGCACTGTTCGAATTATTTTAGCAAATACAACTTGTTAGTATCTAAAAGTGAACGTTACAAGTATGTATACAAACATATAAGCTAATGAGGATTGTCGATATGTATACGTTTTGAGAATCGATATGAAGTTTTTGTATGTCACCGGATCCCTATCTATTGAATCAAAGACCCATGCCATGCTCCTTCCGACATCGACACCTATACAAATCTAGTGGTTGCTGTATGGATTTAATCATAAAACTAGATAAGCTCTTTTGCATTGAATAAAATATATCGAACAAAGCTTTAAGTATAGAGTTGAACTTACTTGAAGTTGTATGGTAGTCATATAGTAGAGTGTTGGAGAATTTTAAAAGCTAAAGCAATGTATGCTGAAACCTTAAGGGACTCTTCCCTTAGTTTCTTTGTACGGATGTGCTCTTTCTCCCGAAGGGTCTTTCCAGCAGCTAGCTCTTTGTCATTCAGTTTTCACTGTTTAGGGTAATTAAAATTTGTTTGTGCTATAGCTTGAGGGTCTATATACCTGGCTTTCACACTTGGCATTTGTTTACAATGTGCACTTGCATTCTACAAATCACGGCGTGGGTTAGTTACAACAAAATTCAAAGATTACATTCATATCATATCAGGAGGACAAGGACTTACAGGCACCACATGCGAATTAGATTCATCTCCATTGCTCCGAGGTGAAAGCATGTCTGCATGTCATTGAAGTCAAAGACAATTTTCCTGGCTGGGCTTCCAAATGTGCCGATGGGGAAGCATACTTGTACGAGGTCTATGCTCGTTGAGAGAACACGCAAGTACCAATCATGAAACCTTCTCATTCCAAGTGGTAGGCGCTGGATGTCCCAGTTTAGTAGAAAGGGCTTGCCTCTTTCATATGTTTTTGGACAATCCTTTGACCATTTGATGGCATCAATATTTGGATACTGCTTTGCTATTTGGTGGAGTTTGCTAGTGATGGCCTCCTCAGAAGCCTATGATGGGACTTTTTTTAACTTGGTTCTTAGGCTTAAACTGATCATGAGAATACCACTTGTGCACCGACGAGACGTCTTTTATCAGAATATAAATTGGTCTTATGGTGATTTGATGCTTCTTTCAAAGTTCCCATTCATGCACCTCCTCATCTTCTTGTGCATCACCTTCTTCAGGAGGCACTCGTTGTTCATGTATCAGTTGTGCTTGTTGAGAAGACTATGGCATCTCATCATGCACTTGCTCGGTACGAACTGGAGAAGGTTGTGGCTTATCAGGCACATGCTCGCTAGGAGGCGGGGAAGAATGTGGCATCTCAGGAATATGGTGGTCACGAGACGGTGAAAATATCTCTCCGACCTCAACAACTCGCTCCAAATTTAGGAGAGGGGGATGAGGCGAAGAAGCAGTCAATATAATGTCCCATTTGTGCCAGTGGATGAACTGCCCCATTATGTCTCTGAGTAACACCTGCCCCTTGGGAGTTGCGTAGTCTATCCTCCACTGCATGAACTCAGGCTTTACGGTATACACCTCGACCCTAGTGTAGTTCGGCGGTATCTTATTATTGTGGTGTAAGCCACCGGGAGGATGTGCCACACCCGTTGCCACCTCCATCACAATGTTCTGTCGGCCGCTGAGAAACGCCAAGGTGTAACTAGTTGGTTCCCGTATACGATCGATGGAGGTTGTGGCTGTAGTGGAACCTTGGCTGCTAGGAAGTTTCAGAGGGCTACCAACTAATGCCAGTTCTCCTGGCGGCGTCATTAATATCCGTGGCTCCGTAGACAGTCCTTGCTCCTCCAGCACCTTCGCAACTAGAGCCCTCACTTAGAGCTCAAGATTAGTCTCCCAGTCTCTTCCATGTTTCTTGTACATGTGCCTGTCCTCTTCGAATCCTTGCTTCCAGGTTGTCCTTTTCCCTAGCCCTCTGGTGCGGCCTATGTGCTCCTTGTTTCCCAAGCCAGGGCTAAGATCGTCCCTCTCTTTGGAAG